AGAGAGAGAGAGAGAGAGAGAGAGAGAGAGAGAGAGAGAGAGAGAGAGAGAGATCAGGAAAAAGTTTTTGAGACCATGAAAAGGAGTTCATAGTTTTTGCACCAAAAACATGGTCTAAGGAAAAGCTGATAAAGTAAATTTTGTCAAAGAGAAACACTATTGATCTATGAAATAGTCTGTCAGAAAAATGAAGGACCACAGGTTGCAGAGATGTCTGTCAGTAAAGTGATTACTGTGTAAGCAGGGCAACATATTTGATTCCTCAAACCAATGTAAGAAACTAGGTATGGTGACACTCTCAGCACGTGGTGGAACAGTGGATTCTCGGGGTTCTGTGGCCAGCTTGCCTAGCCCAGTTCATGAGCTCCAGGCAAATGAGAGGCTCTGATGCAAGGGGACAGACAGTGCCTGAGGAAGTGACACTTGGAAGTTGTCCTCAAGTCCTCACATGCATAGGTACTGAAAACAAAAAGAAAAAAAGCAAACAGTCCAACTAGAGAACAAGAACAATGGGAGAAAGCAGAGGCCTGAAGAGCACACTTGAATTGTAACGAAGAACATGGACCCATGTTTGACATCACTAGCCATTAAGAAAAGCAAATATCAACCTTCACTATTAGATGGCCCTACAGCTATCAAAATGACTAAATCGACTGGTGATGACACCAGATACTGATGGGATGAAGCAACTGAGCCATTTGTTATGCTGTTTACCTTCTATTGACAACTTGGTTAGATCAAGAAACACTCAGGTAATTGGTGGAGCATAACTGTGGCTAAGTCTGTGAGGGTATTTGTAGAGAGGATTAACAGAGGACTAAAAAGATCTGAGGTGGCACCATCCATGGCTGGGGTCCCAAACTCAATAAAAAGAGGTACTGGAGAAATCCAGCTGAGCACCAGTATTCATACCTCTGTGCATCCTGACTCAGGATGCAATGTGACCAGCCACCTCCTGTTTCTGTCTCCATTTCCTGCCATCACTAACATATCCATGTATCACTCACAGTAACAAAAAGCAGTACAGCTACTATTGTGAAAAACATTTTTGGTAGCGTCCTGAGTAGTTTCATGTCAACTTGACACAAACTAGAGTCATCTGAAAGGAGAGAACATCATTTGAGAAAATGCCTCCATAAAGGCTGACTGTAGGGCATTTTCATAATTAGTAATTGATGGGAAAGGGCCCAGCCCATTATGGGTGGTGTCATCCCTGGGATGGTGGTTCTGGTTTCTATAAGAAAGAAGGGTAAGCAAGCCAGTAAGCAGCACCTGTCCATGGCCTCTGCATCAGCTCCTGTCTCCAGATTCTGCCATTTGAGTTCCTGTCCTGACTTTCTTCAGCTGTGAATGGCAATGTGGAAGCATAAGTCTAATAAACACTTTTCTCCCCAATTTGCTTTTGGTCATGGTTTTTCATTACAAGCAATAGTAACCCTAACAAAGACATGCGGTGTTTTATAAAGGGAAGCCCAAACTTAGTACACAATCCAAGAATTTTCTCCTGGTATATTTATGCTAGAAAAATGAAAATTCATGTTTACCTAAAACATTTATATATAACAATATATGTTGCCAGCAATACAAAATTAGAAACAACAGAGAAATAATTCATTGGGTGACTTTTAAACATTCTTGCCATGGGACATTACTCAATGATGACAAAAAGCAGAGGAGATGGGCCTGTGTGAATGGATCTCCAGGAAATTATGCATGCTGTGTCGGGGCCCAAGTGCCCAGTAATGATTCTACTTATTAACTCATTCTGAGATTTTTATATAGTTAATTAGGTGCTGGAAAGCTTGTGGGCACTGGGAATGGACCTCTTTCTTCTCTTGTGGTGAACAGTTTATGAAAGCAGTGACTAGATCAGAGGAGCTTGAATTACTTACTCCTCAGCACAGAACCTGAGTCATGTCCACAGCCCTGAATGAGAAATGACATCCTGAACTACTCTAAAGGTCATTGGTGGATAACTATCCTAAACTGTCTTAGACTGCATGAGGCCAAACCTTGTGGGAATAAAGATACATTACTGCTCCTTCTGTGGACTCAAAAACAGGCCTGTGATACCTGTGCAATACGGAGTCCCCTCGGGAAAAGTCACTTGTCCTAGAGATTTCATATGGTAGCACAAAGCTTGCCTAGAATGGAGATGAAAGTGTGGTCCAAACTTTGGCCATTGTCTACTCTGACCCTGTCAGAATGTGCTTCCCGCTACCCTTCAATACATTCTGTCTCTCCACCACACTATGGTGCTTCTAGTGCAAATTCTTTCAAGTGACATCAGAAGAACCAGGCAGACAGAAGGAATCTTGACATACTGGTGACAAGATGGCTATTGAAGGAAAAAATCCTCTACTAATAGTTACCAGGATTGAGGCAGCGAAGAAGGTAACAGATGGAGGGTACTGCAAGGCAATGGGGTTTTTGTGGTAATGAACTATTACATGTCTTGAATATGGTGATCATTGAAGAAATATATACCTATGACAAAATTTATTAGAATTATGCACATGGGCACACACACATAAATGTATAAAATTGATGAAATCTGGGTGAGGTTGCTGGCTTTAATATTGATCTTCTGGTGAAACTCTTATACAGTAGTCATATAAAATGGTATCATTGAAGAAAAGAAAATTATTCCCAGGTTTATAATTTTGTATTTTAAAGTATCATGTGATGCTATAATTAACCCAAACAAAACATTTAATTAAAATAATATATGCACTTTTTTTTTACACTTTGGGGATGAACTACAAAGTGATTCTACACGATTTCATGCTGTTTTGTTCTTTTAGTGGCCTAGACTTCCCTCACTCTGATAGATGATTTGTATGCAAGAATGAGAGAGCAAATGGAATTCATTAAAATTATAAACATGAATCAACTTGAAATGGAAACATTTATTCTTTGTGGTTGGAAAGTTTATATTTCTATTTCAACTAGCAATTGGCTCTAAAATATGAATTCCATAACCAGGTGAAAGTCAAAATTTCCAGTATCTTGACACCATACACCATAATTTCAGAAAAAAATAGACTTAGGTTGCAGGAACTGCAGAAAGTTCCAACCTGCTGTGGTTCTTACTTTTCTATAAGACTTGTAGCAACAATAAATGTAATGACAACTAGAGATCAAGATCATGCTTAGTAAGCTTAATCATGCCTGCCACAGATAAACATGGCTTTAAAACAGGATTTAGGGGCTACAGATATGGCACAGCAGTCAGGGCTGGTTACTTCTCTTCCAGAAGACCTGAGCTGCATTTCCAGTATCCACATCACTCATAACTACCTCCAACTAGTTCCAGGGTGCCCTTTTCTGGTGTCTGTGGGCACCAGGCATGCAAATGGTGCACATACTATATATCCAGGCAAGTGGTCATGCAGATAAAAATACATAAATAGTTTTTAAAAGAATTTATTTTTAAGAACAGTTTAGGTTCACAGTAAAATAGAGTGAAGGTACAGAGAGGCCCCCGTATGTCACATGCCCCTATGTGCCCAGCCTCACCACTAAGAAGAGCTCGACCAGTCATTGGGTATAGTTGATGCATCACTATCATTCTGAACTTACAGTCAATTTGATTTGTGGGTCTATTCTT